TTGAATGTCAGTTTATGTTCTCCAGCCCATCTGACTACCCGATCAAGTGCTCCCTGCATCAGGTCTTGCATTGTTGTTTCATTTCTTCCCCTCACCAGGAGGAGCACATCATCAGCATATCCAATTGCTTCCACAGGAACATTTGTCCTCCGTGTACCATCATTACTGTAATAGAACTGTCTTAAAAGAGAATCCATTACTAAGTTCCATACTAATGGTGACAAAACACCCCCCTGAGGACTGCCCATACTAGGGGAAATTCTAGCACGGACCCCCTGCAGGTTGGCTTCCACCATTCTCTGACGTAACAGGGTCTCATACCAGACAACGAGACCCTCTGGTATATTAAAATTTTTCATTGCTGCCACCGCAGACTCATAACGGACCTCTGAAAAGGCTCCTGTACAGTCCAAACTGACTGCTAGTGCAAAACCTCCCTGGTAATATGCACTTTCAATGATGTCAACAGCCTCAGAGAGAGCTGATTCAGTTGATACACTCCTTGTGTATGCATGCTGGCTAACCAGTGGTCTCTGGACGACTCCATCCTGAGTGTACCAGTATGCCAGTCTTTCCAAGCCTTTCAGCAGAAAATTAGATAAAGTAATTGGTCTATATGATTTAGCTATAGAATAATCATCCTTCCCTACCTTGGGGATAAAAACTACTCTCATACTTTTCCATCTATTGGGTACCCAACCCGAGCCCATAGAGTACTGATATATCTTAGTTAGAAGATGACGTGCCTTCATGCCAAGTGCCTGGAGAGCCACTGGTGGAAATCCATCAGGGCCTGCTGATTTGTATGGGCCAAAAGAGTGCAGGGCCGCTTTAACACGTTCCTCTGTTATATAACTAACCAAAGGTGAATTTGTGAATTCAAAGGAAGAAATTGTTTGCCCCTCGGAATCATCAGAAACTGGCCTGTTATTAGGAAAGTGTGCATCCAATAGCACCTGAAGACTTTCCTGTGGTGATCTTGTATACCCTTCAGAGTTTCGAAGGAGCCCAATACTCTTGTTGTGACTGCCCTCAAGGGCTTTCACCTTTTGGTTAACATCCCAGGTGTTGTCTGCAGTACCTGCAAAATCTCGCCAAGATGTTCTTCTTGCTAGTTTTCTTGCCTTAACAAACTCAGCCCTAAGTTCCCTATATGCTGACATACGCTGAGTGGAGTAACGATGTTTGTCCCCCAGTTTTGCCAGTTTCACCTTAAGTTGTTGTAGTTGCTCATTCCACCACCTATGTGGCTTGTGCCTAGGTGCTTTTCGAAGCAGGCAGGCACTATCAAGAGCCTTGGTCATGCTTGCATACAGCCTTTCCAAAGCATCTTCCATCTCCAGGTCTTCTTCCCAAGATGGGTCAATATCCTCTTCAACCATTGCTTCAAACTCAAGCCATCTTCCTCTTCGCAAATTTCTTGTCCACTTTGTACCTGGTACATACTGTCCAAATGTGTACTTAATGTAATTATGATCAGAGAAATTGTGGGTATGATCCACTCGCCATTTCTCCATCTCAAGATCCAGCACCGCTCGATCATTTAGTACTGTAATGTCTATAATACTCCGTCTTCCCCCAACATTGAAGGTCCACTCATTTCCAGTGTTCATTACAGTCAACTGCTCTTCCTGGATCATTTCTTCCAGTTCCTTGCCTCTTCTATTTTGTTCATGGCAACCCCACATCTGACTGTGTGCATTGCAATCAATCCCTGTTAAAAGTGGAATGTTGTCTTCTTGACATCTTCGCACCAATTCAATAAACAAAGGTTTTTTGGCTGGCAGCAAAATATCCAAATAAATGGAGGAGATATATACAATCCTTCCTCTAACTGTCAAAGCTATCGTACTCATGTCACGATCTGAAAACTCTTCTACTAACCATGGGTGATGGGAGGGTTCAACCCTAATGCATGCCCTTGGGTTATCAACCCCCAGTTTGGCA